TTGTCTCTTCCCCCTCTCTACCTGTGTACATACATTTTGATTGCGGCTCCGGGCGGTTTGCCCATTGTTATTTTCGTTTCGGCTTTCTGAAATATGGGCTTGGATTTTTGCTCATATTTGTCTTCGCGATGTCCGTTTTTGCTTGCATTATGTGCGTGATGGTCGAATGTATGGATGAGGGGACTGCTTGTCTATCTTTTTGCTGAGAATCCCTGTCCTTGTGTTATGTCTGTATCGAACCTTTGCCTGCGCCTGATGTCACTGTAGATGGGATAGGAATCTGGTCCCGATAGTGGGTTTGTTCTCGTTATGCTTATCTCATGATGGGGATTGTGTTATGATTGCATCTTGCATAATCGACGATCCGAAATCTGGCCCCGTGAACGCCGCGCGAGAACACGTGTAAACGCGATCCGAGTCGCGCCCTTACACACATTCCCGTGCGTCGATTCGCCCGCCCAGACAGGACTCGCGGCGGAACCACCATCCCGCACGAGCACGCCGGGGCGCAACTAAGTTCGCCCCTCCGACATGTGCTCATGCGCGGTGACGATATCCCGACCCGCGCTATTCCACCGACGATGAAACCATGACGCGATCTTGGGGCTCAGACTCATCCTATGACCCGGACTATTTCACCCCTATAATAAACGAGCTCATAAGGACACGATACCCCTGTCACACGGAGAATCGGCTATGTACGTGGGAATTCCACTGTGCCACCACTAGCGACCCTCGGTGCTCTGATTTCCCTTCCCCCGACCACACCTACTACTTCACCCACCCAGGATTCGTTGAGATCACCACCAATTTCCCTCCTTTCCGCCTCCTTCTCCCGTATCATCAACTCAGTGTCGTTCCATGGCTGGCCATAGCCCGCTATTGGCCCAATACGTTTTGCGTGAACTGCCGACGCAGCGGCGCACCGAGCACTCCGGAATTCCGAAGGCCCAACCCAAATACGCAGCGGCCTGCGCCACGTGGCGGCCCCCGACGGCCTAACTTTCTGGGACCACCTCCACCACGGAGGAATTTTCCCGTAACCCGTCGTCCACAGTGTC